ACCTCAGTTCTTTTGGAAGGCCTTGATGCATGAGACGGGGGGGGGGGGATCCTTTGCTGTCTTTGAAAATCTGCACCCTGTCAAAGTCAGTCATTGAGGCAGAGATTCTGGTTTTGCATGAGGCCACAAGAGAGGTTTATGTCTTGAGGGTGATGCTGCCTTTTATCTGCCTGATGCAGATGTTTGTGAGCTCTTCGTAGTGGGACTGCTTCTTTCGTTGGCTGCACAGTAGCATGCTGTGAGGAAGTTGCCATACAATAGGCCACACGCTGTGGTGCTATATCTCCTCTATTGGTGGAGAACCTTAATTAGTGGACAAAACTAATTAATCTGAACACTGTGTTCCAAACGCCAGATGTTGCCATTAAAAGCGAATACTTGATCCACTATCAGTCCAGCAGCATCATTAGCATTGTAGTGGTAGACTTTTGATGGTTGAGATTTATCTTGAGGATTTCTCACATGAATCCATTGTTCTTTGACACACAGTATAAATGTCGTGTTGGAGGAGAGTGTTATGGGCACCATGGAATGCCAAAAAGACAAATAAGTGGGTTCTAGGTAAAATTAAGCCTGAACTCTCCCTAGAAGCTAAAATGACTAAACTGAGGCCATTTTACTTTGGTCACCTTATGAGCAGAAAAGACTCACTGGAAAAGATAATAATGCTAGGGAAAGTTGAAGGCAGCAGGAAAGAAGGAGACCCAGCATGAGATGGATTGACTCAGTCAAGGAAGCCACAGACCTCAGTTTGCAGGACCTGAGCAAGGCTGTTAATGATAGGCAGCCTTTTTCAGCATGGAGCTTTTGTCCACCCATTTTTTTATCCACATAATTTTTCCAGCTTTAAAAAAAAAAATGCTGTATTCTCAGAAGATGTTACCTTCTCATCTTGACCATAATGGGTTGCATCCAACCAACCACCAACCTTCTGAGCTAGATCCAGCACAAATTTCCTTTTGCACTAGAGCTCTTACACATGTAAAAACACAAGAAAAAGATCTTGCAGGCTGCACAGTCAAACTTACTGTATCCTTACTTGCATTTCCACATGAACATAAGAACATAAGAGAAGCCAATGTTGGATCAGGCCAATGGCCCATCCAGTCCAACAATGTCACACAGTGGCCAAAAATACCAGGTGCCATCAGGAGGTCCAGCAGTGGGGCCAGGACACTAGAAGTCCTCCCACTGTTGCCCGCCCCCCAGCACCAAGAATACAGAGCATCACTTGCCCCAGCCCGAGAGTTCCTATCTATACCTTGTGGCTAATAGCCACTGATAGACCTCTGCTCCCTATGTTTATCCAATTTCCTCTTGAAGCCGTCCATGCTTGTAGCCGCCACCACCTCCTGTGGCAATGAATTCCATGTGTTAATCACTCTTTGGGTGAAGAAGTACTTTTATCTGTTCTAACCCGACTGCTCAGCAATTTCATTGAGTGCCTATGAGTTCTTGTATTGTGAGAAAGGGAGAGAAATACTTCTTTCTCGACCTGCTCTATCCCACACATAATCTTGTAAACCTCTATCATGCCACCTCTCAGTCATCATTTCTCCAAGCTAAAGAGCCCCAAGCGCTTTAACCTTTCTTCATAGGGAAAGTGTTCCAATTCTTCTATCAACCTAGTTTCCCTTTTCTGCACTTTTCCAATGCTATAATATCCTTTTTGAGGTGTAGTAACCAGAATTGCACACAGTATTCCAAATGAGGTCGCACCATCAATTTATACAGGGGCATTATACTTGCTGATTTGTTTTCAGTTCCCTTCCTAATAATCCCCAGCATAGCGTTGGCCTTTTTTATTGCAGTTGCACACTGTCTTGACATTTTCTGTGAGTTATCTACTATGACTCCAAGATCTCTCTCTTGGTCAGTTTCAACCCCATCAATGTGTATTTCTAGTTAGGATTTTTTGCCCCAATGTGTATCACTTTGCACTTGGCCACATTGAACTCCATTTGCCACGTTGACGCCCACTCGCCCATTCTCAACAGATCTCTTGAAGTGCCTCACAATCCTCCCTGGTTCTCACCACCCTGAACAATTTAGTGTCATCCACAAATAATGAATTTGTGCAACCAGTTTATGGATACTATAATATATAGGAGGAGGGAATGCTGGTTGTTATGCAACTGCTTGTGCAAGTGGCAGTTTTTTAACGTCACAGCCACCATCCCTGGAATGATGTTTCCTGTATAAAAAGCCATGAAAATTGGTGAGCTGCAATGGGGAGGAGAAATAAAGTGTAGCCACTGGCTGCCCTCCTCCCTCTTCTGCTTATGGAGCTTCACTTGCAGAAAATCTGTGTCTTCTTCCAGTTGATTGGTTGGATGTAGCCCTTTTGCATTCTCTTTTCTGGGATCCCACCCTTATAGGCCTTAGCCAAATTTAACTGGGCAACAAAAGTTGAACCTATCCTTTGTCTTCTAGACCATCCTCATTAGCTCTGGAATATGTGTTGTTGCTTGCATTGTCATTGAGTCTTGACCAGTTTAGGACTATCCTAGACTCTCAAAATGTTTAAGTCAGTGTAGGGTTGCCAAATACAGAAAACATACCAGTGGGGGAGCGCCCTGCCGGTCCGGGAGCTGTTTCCTGAAGCGCGCGCGCCGCCAGAACATCACCGGAAGTGACGTCACACGCTGGGCGGGGCCACGCCATTTGAGGGGAAAACAAAGAGTTTTCCCCTCAAATGGCGTGGCCCCGCCCCCAGCATGCGACGTCACTTCCGGGTGACGCGCACGCCGGGGCGGAGTTCCCCCCGGGCCCCGATTCCCCGGCGTCGGGTAATGGGCCTCCGGGGCGGGGGGAATTCCGCCGTACCGGGGGGGTTGGCAGCCCTCAGTCAGTGGTTCACAAGGCTTTATCAAATATTTGGAGTGCAGAATGGTTTCAAAGGCAGTTTCTTGAAAATGGAATCTCAAGCAAGATCTGGCTTCAGACTGTTTGTAAGAGACGAGGACATTCCTGAGCTTGCTGCCCGGTCAGTATTAGTAGTGCAGGTATTACTGATCATAGCAGGTATGACATTCAGCTCTTGCCAGGCCTTCACTGGACTGTGCTTTACAGGCACAACACTAATCTCGCCCCAACTAATATGGAATTGTCCAGTATCTGCTACAGAATCTCCTGCCCTTGTTTACTCTAAATATATAGGCTACAAATTGATATATGAAATAGGATTATTCTCTAAAGAGTCCTCTAGTGTGCTCAACAGGTTGCCTCTTAATGATATATTTGCCTATGGTCACATTTTTTTCTCCCTACTCTTGGCTGCAATACACTTGATTGTATAAAAAACACAATTTTCAGCTCAGAAAGTCTTATATCAGTGTTCAGACTTTCCCCCATATTTTTGTGATGCTTCCATTAATTCTGCCCTGAGGCTCTGATGATTCCTTCCTTGTTTAGAACCACTCACTTAGGAGCAAGGTGAACCTCTAAATTGTAATCAGTTGCCAGTGATCCTCTTACAGATCACTTTGTGATGCTCAGAATAAATACTTCAAAAGAATGTCTGACATGAGGGGTGTGTGCACGTGTTAAATGTTCTATTTACATATATCATGACTAAAAATGAATTCAGTATATAAATATATCTCATTTAGTAACTTAAAAAGTACTGTTCCTGATACTTACAAAAAGTTCATTTTCACTTATCATTCAAATAACTGTGAAATGATAAACACAGCACGGTTTTCTGAGTATACATGGCACTGCATGGCCTTGCTCAGGTACAAGGAGATAGGAACCACAGTGAAGCAGTGGTGAGATTCATAATAATGAGAACCAATTATCAGTGAATAGAAAGAGGGAATGATTTCCTTTATTCCTTCTCCCAATTCTGTCTCAGATAGGAATGGCGGCTGGCTGCATTTTTTTTTTTTTTTGCTTGCCTTTATTTAAAACATTTTATACCACTCTTCTACCAACTGGTCATTATGAGAGATTACAAAATATACAACATTGATGAACACTAAAACAATAGCTCAACAATTTAAATAGCAGAAAACAACATCAGTTTTAAAAAATTTAAAATAGCAGGAACTCAGGCTAGAAAGTGTCTAGAGAGTTTTTCATCTTCCGAGAACACAGAACCTGGTTTTTGTTGAGGCAGTCTTTCAAAGTGGCTGGCATACATTGTTAACAAACCCATGCTTAAAGCTAGGGATGGCCAGCTTCTTTATTTCTTTATCCATGTTATTTTAGACACTAATCCAAGCAGGTAGAACTATCAAGTCCCCTCACAGATGCTCAAGAATTGACCGACAGCAAGGATTATACATGTATGATGTGCATGGACTCAAGTGCTTAGTGGAGGGGGGGGAGTAAGAATTGAATTTGCTTCCTAAAAGATCTCAAGAGTTAGATTGACATGGGTTCTTTGTTTTCACCAAATATGCACAAGATAGCTGTATTATATCATTAATGTGAAAGTACACCTGGCAACTCATTGATTCTTTCCCTTGAAAGTGAAAAATGTGAACGCATTATTAACATTTGACAAGGTCATTGTGGACAGATGGTGTTAACTCACATGCTACCATACTATCTTGGGGAATAAGGGATTACACAGATTCACTTGGTCCAAAACACTTCACATGTTCAGACCAACCTGGTATTTTTCTAATTCTTAGGAGATTGCTAAAAATGACTAGACATGAATTTTAAAAAATAACACCACAGTTAATATACAGAATGCAGCGGCTTGGATCCAGTGATGCACTTGTGCAAGATCTTGTACAACACCTAGCACTTTCCTCCCTGTATATTATAGTGCCCAGATACTGGTTGCACAAAGTTTTGTGTAAACAAACACATGAATGAAGATACAATAATTTTGACAATGGAAGTGGCTACTGCAGTCTTTTTTCTTGCATTTCTATTTGTGCAAGAGCTCTAGCACAAGCAAAAAAATTGTGCTGGATCCAACCCTAGATATCATATGTCCTCTACAGATGCATACCTGCTTCTTTTATCTTTTTCATTCCATCCAGGAATACCTGGATGTTCTAGGAAGACCCATGGTCCTGGCAGGGAACAGGGCAAAACAGGTTCAGTGGACCAATGTTTATCAAGATGCTTTGGTAAGAAAGAGCTTATTATTTATTCATTCATTTATTTAATCTGTTTATATCCCCAAGTCTCTATGGTGTTCTCAAAACATCAGTGAAAGCCAATAAATCTTTAAAAATTCAATGAAATCCAGTTCAGTAAAATAACAGATTAAAATTTGGATTAGATAATGGAACAACAAACCAGCAGCAATAATAAATAGTTAATAATTGTCTTCTCCACTAAAACCCCAAAATAACAAATGGGGATATACATATGACAACAAGCCTAAACTAAGGAAAATAACAGCAGTCCACAGAATGCCTAGGCAAACAAAACAGTTTTCATCTGATGCTGAACATACAACAGATTTGGCACTGGGCAGTCCATTATACAGGGGCAGATTAACCATTAAGCAGACTAAGCACATGCTTAGGGCACCAGGGCCAAAGGGGGCACCACAAAGTTGGGGAAAGGGTGAAAAGTTTTGTACAGTATATTGTGTTATCATATGAATAAATTTTTGTATTGCTGCAACCTGCATTGTATATCTGGTCAGACAGGTCAACAACTAAAATGGACTGGGTCAGTGTGGAAAGGAGGAGGGCACCAAGATTGGTCAGTGCTTAGGGCACCAGTGAGCCTTAATCCACCCCTGATTATGGAGAAGGCATTCCACAAAGAAGATGTCCCAGAGTCTCTTACTTTAGTTGCTACTTACCTTTGAAGGCAGAAGCCCCAAGGGGCAAGCCATCCCAAATAAATGTTATAACTTTTGGGCATGGTCATATAAGAATATGCATTTGTCCCAGACTGTGAGGATTTAAAGATAAGAACTGACAGTGTTAACTAGTGAAGTTCTTTCTGCACTGGCAAGATACGTCCCCTGTGATTAGTATCTACTAGTAGCCTTGCTGCTACATTTTGAACTGAAGTTTTCAAGCTGTCCTCAAAGGCATAGAGTGTCTTACAGTAATCTAACCTGGAATGAATCACTGCAGCTAAATTACTCTTTCCAAAGAAAGGCCACAGCTGATGTACCAGTTGAAGCTGGTTAAAGGTGCTGTGGATGAGACTGAAATATTCATTTGCACAGATTGTGCAGCACCCCCATGCTGTGAACCTGCTCCTTTTGAGGAGTGTGTAGTCCTATTGAGAATAGAATGAACTCCAGTTCCTTGATTGAACTACTATTGATCAACAACTCCTCATATTATGGCCTTCATTTAACCCATTACAATGTCCAAACACATGTTTACAGTGTTCACTGTCTCATTTGACTCTGATGAAAATGAGAAGAAGAGTGGTGTGTCAGCATACTTCACTTCGAATTGCCAGAGGACCTCCAGATATTACAAAGTATGGAAGGAGAGATGGAATCTTGTAGGACCAAATAGTATAAATTTTACAGAGATTAGTAGTAATCCTTAATGGGTGCGGACTGGGCCCAGAAAGAACAGTAAGCAGCAGTAAGAAGGAGGAGCAACCTCTGAGAAGCAGCAAAAGCAGCTGCCCCTGGGTTGGCAAGGCAAGGAAAGAAACGTTGCATGAACTATCTTTATGCAATCTGTTAACATAAGGGGGCAGTCTCTTGCCTGAGGTCCACAAAATCTGGTGCCCTGATCCAAAGAGTCATGTGCAAGATGATAATCATGCTTCCTCAATCAACATATAGGCCCCTGTATAAGCAAGTGAATGTCATGAAGCACCCAGAGGAACCATTCGCTGTATGAAACACCTTGCACATGTGGAACAGATTGCCTTAATGCATTTTGGCTTTCCTCATGCTAGATTCAAGACTAGGCTTTGACAAAGCTAATAGCTGCTTCAAGTGCAGCCTCGTTCCACATGCAGAGCAGGCTGTCTAGATTGCATCTTGAATCAGCAGGATATCAACAGTGTAACAGAAACAGTCAGGTCTGTCCTCTAAGACAACCATCCACCACCAGTCCTTTGCTAGAGAGATTTCAAATGGATCTGTTCTCCAAATTCCTTCAGGAAGCAAGCTCTGCCAGTTCAGAGCTGCAGTACAATGTATGCATGAATGTTGTTGTTGCTCCACCTGAAGCAGCAGGGCTTCTGTACAATTTCTTCTTGCATCTGATCATATTTTCTCTGCTGTCATTTCCTTTCGACAGGGTCTGGGCTTGGTGGTGACAGGCACTCTGCCAGTGTTCAACCTCACTGAAGGCGGTGGTGACAGGAAGGTATGTTTTCAACTTGCAAGGTATTTTTATTATTATTATTATTATTTATTTTTGTATTTATACCCCGCCCTCCCCGCAAGTGGGCTCAGGTATTCCCTGTATTCAAACCAGAGATCCACAATTGTTAATGAAGTCAGCCAACTATGGAGAGATTATATGTTTGTGGGCCTGTGTGAAAGAGAGTGTGGGAAGGGTGTATACAAGCATTTATTTTATTAATAAGGCAGCCTGGACAGCTGTAAAAAGAAAAGGTTATTTTTGCATATTGTGCAATCAGTGCTGAATTTGCCTAATTTTGGGATGGGTAAGCATGATGCAAGACACCATATTGATAGAGGATTTTTATGAAGAAAACAGTTGTCGGCCAATCAACATTTTGTCTTACATTTACTGGTTTTCTGTATCACAAAATCAGGGCTAAAGACAGCATGTCCACCCAATCTAGCATTTGTTTTGTGATGTGTAAAGGAACTTGAAGTCAGGAATGGCAGCAGGAGAACAAATAAGAGATGAACCAATTCCAGATGAGACCATAGGTACATAAACCACACTCTGGCAAGACAAAGAATTTTACCTGGTTATATATGTCAAATGTCAACATTTGAAGGATGAGCAGAGCATCTCTTTTTAAAAGGATCCTCATTTTACGGATCACTTGCTTGAACTCTGTCATACCATTAGAGGAAATAGAAAGGTAGCTTCTTCTTCTTTGGGCCAAGTGGTAGGAGAACTGAACCGTTATTTATGGCACATTCAAAGACCCTGTAGTGAGAAGTATCAAATAATCTTACATGAGCACAAATTAGTTATGCAGGTCATTGGACTAGAGCCCTGTCCAGGATGGTCTGGGAACTCTGTATGCTGCAGCACTGTCAAAGCTAAGCAGAGATGGACCTAATCAGTGTCTCAGTGTGAGAATAGAAAGAGCAATCAGCTCTATAAAGGAAGAGCAGGAAATAATAAAAATAACAAGGGCAATTTCTACATCATATGCACTTGAATGGAATTTTTCACACTTTATAGTGACAACTGAATTTCAAGACAAGCACACACCACTAAATAGATCACAAATACCTCCCTTTTCCCCCAGTGAGTAGAATCCCAGCATGTGTCCACAGTCTGTCTCATCTGCCTTAAGCTCCCACTTTTGTGTTTGGTTAGATTTATTGGCAGTAATAGACCTGCCATGGCATTCCGTGTCAGCTTGTTTTTAAGCAGGCAATGATCTGTTTCCCAACTAGGTAAGCAACAAGGCCAAAGACCAAGTCATTTATTCTCTGGGGAGCCTGGCTATTGCCTCATAAAGCAGCATGGCAGCTCCACTGCAACAATTATCCCATGCTGTGCGCTGTAACAGCTGATATGGTGGCTTGTTGCAGGTGCAGGCACTGGTATCTCTTTAAGAGAGGATGTATGTCTCTCAAAGAAGCACCACTGTGAGGACAGGAGAGCTGTGTGAGGGGCTGACTTCATGTCATTGGAAAGGCCCTTGTTCTCCCCTTACCTCATGGCTTGTGAGGTTAGTTTATTTCTGAGCTATCTAGCAGGGGCCATATCACCAGACATACAGGCCTTTTGAACAGACTTGCTGGGATTTGGGGACTGAGTGTCCATCATACCCCATGTGTGGTCTACAACCTTTTTTGTGCTGGGCAGACATGCTGAGGGCCAGTATAGCAACAAATACTGGTTTCATTCTGTAGGGCAGAAAATGAGCATCCAGCCCACAGGTTTCCCTGACTCTTAGTCTAAAGGGATATTTGAGTGCTGAGGTAGCCTGAGTTTTGTGCTCATACAATGGCATGTGTCATCCATGACAGTGCACAAGCATATGTTGATATAATAAAGTTAGCAGTCTTCCCCTGCCTCTGCTTATCTGTGTGTCAAGGTGAGTTCATACTCCTTCATTCCTCGAGGAACAGCAGGTCAGCATCACACAGGCCATGCTGGTTTCAAATCAAAACTGAACTGAATCCCACAGAATTTGAAACCCTAATTTCATAGTAGAATACAAACTTCCACTTTCAGTGTTTGAAAGGAGCAACAGTCTCTTGGGAATTCTGGGGTCCTCTTTATACTCTGTTTACCTAATTTCAGTAAGAGGGGAAACTATGATACAGAGAATCATATGATATGATAAAATTAGTCTATATAAATGGATTTAATTCTGTGAGTATGCATATGTACTCATATAGTGTTTTACCAAGTCATTGGAAGACGTAATTTGGAAATATTGCAGGATCCAGGTGTGCTTTTGGGGAGTTAACAACAACTTTTGATAATTATGGTTATTTTGCTAAAGAAAACAGGGTACAATGAATAGCTGTACCATGATGACAAAGGAATATGAGTGATACTTCATCCAGAATTCATATAATGTTCCAGGATGCGGGGTAGAAGAGAGGGTGATATATATGTGTTTAAGTGTAGATGGCTAGATTAAGTGTACTACCGCCCTCTTGAATTTGGGGTCCTTTGTTTATTATTTATCACAAGGAAAACACTTACTGTACTTTTTCTGTATGGTAGTTTCCATCCTTCTGTCTAGATCAGGGACAGGGAAGGGAACAAAATGTTGTCTTTCGAGTAGGAGCCGCCACTATCGTACCATCACTTTTTACCATCATTATCAACTGGCCCTGGGGAAAGAGAGAATGACAGTGTCACATGGAACTGACAGCACTGATTGGGTGTACCATCTTTGAGACGTCATCTTTATGGAAGATTATTCTGGAACATCTAGAGCACTTAATATGTTGTAACATTGTAGTGATGATTTTGTATGGTTTTAACCTGTTTTTATGTATTGGTTTACGCCTATCTGTGAGCCGCCCTAAGCCTGCGTCGCGGGGAGGGAGGGCTATAAATTGAATTTAATAAATAAATAAATATAAAATAAATTTTGTTGTTTTCTGTCTTTGCAGAACCAGCTCATCCTAGGTGTTGTGGGGATTGATGTGGCTCTGGATGATATCAAGAAGTTGACACCACAGTATAATGTGCGTAAGAAACAGATGTCTTTCAGATTGGGATCTTTACAGCCTCCAGATTTCTGAAACAAATAGTGAAAATAAAAAAGCAGGCACGGAAGAGAGAATTATCTATGAGAATTAGCATTAGATTGATTTGTGCATAGAATTTCCTCTTTTTTATGTGCACTCCCCACAAATAATTATGCATTGAAAGGATGGGAATCAATCTACCAATTTAATTTTTCTTTTTAAGAAAAAAAGAACAGACTTAATTATTTTCTTTACTCCAAATCATTTTTAGCTGTCTCCTATTAGCACTTATTGGGAGCAAGCCAAAGCAGGTCTACTCAGAAGTCCCATTTTATTTGGTGGGGTTTATCCCTAGGCTAGGAAAGTGCTCTTGGGATTGCAGACATAGCCTCTTCAGTAGGAACTATAGCAGAAATCCTTTCCTTCAGTTTACAATACCTTAGACACTGGTTTTGTGCATGAGCTAAGTAATAAAGGAAAAGGTATAAAGGTCTCGAGAGACTTGAGTTTCCACTAAATTTCCACTAAAATACTTTTGTTGAATCCATCCTCCCACTGCAGAATCACCCCTTCTGGTGCTCTTGGGGGCCACCTGTCCCCCAGGAGCAGCATTTTGAGAGCCTGCTGGGCTGCAGTATGATAGGAAGGTGAGAAAGTCCCATTCTGCCGATGAAATTCCCTTCTGCTAGATCCAATCCACTATCTGTAACACGGGAACTTGGATGCAACTTAATTCCTTCCTTTTGAGTCCTGATTTGTTTTTCTCTAGAAAGATTTTCTCTTTTTATCTTCCCACACAGTTAGGGGCTAATGGCTATGTATTCGCTATTGACTTGAATGGATACGTGTTGCTACACCCAAATCTGCGACCCAAGGTAAGAAGCGTTTTCTCCTCCTCTGTTTCTACCCACCATTATTTTAAAAACAAAGACTATGAGTGCTTTTAGACTTAGCATTTATCCACCACAAAACGAACAGTGGTATTGGCTTGCCAGCAACTGCTTTATCACATGCCGCTAAGAAAATATTCATAATCCGGTTTCTTTGTTTAGGAGAGGGGCTGTGGCTCAGTGGTAGATTACATGCTGTGCATGCTGAAGGTCCCAGGCTCAGTCCCTGACATCTTAATTTCAATGATTAAGTTGAAGGTATTGGGGAAGGCTGGAGAATTGCTGCTAATCAGAGCAGACGTGAGTGAACAACACAGATCAGTGATCTGACTCTCGGTATAAGGCAGTTTCGTATGTTCCTTACATTCAGTGTGATAAGTAGTGACTGACTTACAACATGCATATTGCTGGCTATGCGCTGTAATAATAAATTCATTCATTCATTCTTACAACATGCTAGGTTGGAGCCTGCAGGTAATTTCTGCTGATGGAAGGGGGGGCAATTTTTGCTAATTCTCCCCTTCTGTGGCAGATGTCCAGCACCCCCTCATGCTCTTCTTGTGGAGTTCCCCCATTCCCCCAGGAACACCATTTTAGGGGCATTTTGAGCTACAGTGGGTGGGGACGGGTGGAAAGTCATGCTCTGCTAACAGAAATCCCTTTCATCAGCAGATATTTTCAACAGGATCCAAGCCACTTTATTTTTTCTTGTTTGCTACTAAGCTATTATCAGTGGCCAGTGCTATCTAGTTTGAATTCATGAGTTCTGTGGAAATATTGGTGGTGGTAAATCACCTCCAGACTGAAACATATTCAACAGCTATCAAATAAATAAAGGTATAGTTCACATTTATAATCCTAAAGACATTCTTTAAAAATCCTACAGATTATACAAAAATGTATAATTCTATAGACATATCATCATTCCCCATTTAGCCACAAAATGAACACAGTATCTGAAAGCATCAGTGATCTGTCCCAGTGTCAGTGATTTTTATTATCGGCAAGCAGCAGCCAACAATTTGCCTAATTATTTTTAATCAACTTGTGAAATTCAATCCTTTTGCGTTTCTCTGATTTCACCACTTCCTGTGACTAGAACACAACCCTTACATTCCCTACGCCCATTTTGAGGTCTCTCCTGTCTCCTATGCTGTCTACCCTTTTCGTCTACTAGCCCTTAGCATCCTTTGAGCACTGTCTTCCTGGCCTGGTTGCAGCACACAATCCTTTCTGACCCTCAACCAAACCAGTTTCTGGAACAGAGCTGGGACTTCCCCAAGGAATGGAGCTAGCCCCTGACTTAACTCTCCAGTGAGACCCTACCGTGCTGCACCAGGCCGGCAGCCCCAGGGCCATGTTCCAGCCACTTTGGAGCATATCAGCCACAGCTGCAACAGATGCCCAAGACAGCCCACATTCTCTAGGTTGTCAGGTGGGCTCAGCTTCCTCTGATGCTGGCAGCCCTTTAAAGGGGCTGGTTGGCAGGGCACAATGCATCCCCAGAGCTGCCATCAGGGCCATAAATGGCCCAAAGACTGACTGTGAGGTGTTGCTGGACAGGTAAGTCTTGGCCCAGTTTTGTACCCATGTAAGGTTCTGGCCTGCTTCTAGGCAGTTTTCAATGGGTGATATACTGCTCACAGGAAATAATGGTCCATAAATTATAAAGGGTCATGCACTGTGGATCAACTGAGGAACACTCCCTCGTCCTTAGCCATTCCAGCCTCCTCAACAGGATTCCCAATACTGATATTATCAGAAGTAAAATATCAGTATCAGGAATTATCAGGAGGTCCAGTATTGGTATTGGATGTTGCCAATGTTATCTGATAACATAAATATCAGATATTTTACTAGGTTGGCAATAACCATCTGCTTACCCCTAATTTTTAGTAGCTGTACAGACATACAGTGCTTATACAATTAAGCACAGGAACAGGCAGTGATGTCACTGAGCTTCATGAAAGGTCAGTCATAGGATACTGTAACTGAAAACTGCAGCCAAACATTTGGCACATTATTTTGAATGAGTATGTAAAATTCAGCTCTCCTAATGTCTGCTTCCATAGTCTGATGTCATCAGATCTCAGAAGGGAAGTAGGGTTGGTACTTGGATGGGAGATACCACCAAGGAAGGCTCTGCAGAAAGAGGCTCTGCTTCTCATTTGCCTTGAAAACCCAGGTTGCCATAAGTTAGTTGTGACTTGATAGCACATAAGTACATACGTAGTATCTAGTCCTCTTCTTTCCAAGAATATATAACTCTCTTTTTTTGTTCTGTGGTCTCCTATCTATCTCCATGTTCATCTTCCTCCTTGGCCACTTTGGCCCTTTCCTTAATGGCTATGCACATGGCTTTTCCTTTTCCTTGTACCAACTGTGAGGTGATTTGTTTTGTTTTTAGCTAATCACATGTCAAATTTATTATTCATATCTGTAGTGCCTCCTCATTGATCAGTCCAGCAACTCAGGGGTATAGCGCAGAATGTAAGAGAGTGACTTGCCCCAAGTCCACCCAGTTTATACAGGAAATTGTGATTAGATGCAAAGAAGAACAGGGATTCTGTACTTTAGTCTGTAGAAGAGGAGATTTTAGCAGTTACAGCTTTTTATCACTTTGCAGGACAACAATTAAAAGTATAAAATGTCCTGTCCTGGTTTCTGTCCCCACTGCCCCATGTGAATTAATTTATGGTCAGAGTCCTGGCAACAAGCGGGGTCTGGGTGTTGCTGCCGGCACCCTGACTAGTAGTATAGCCTGGGGCTCCTGTTGAAACAACTAATCCACCCCAAAAGACTGCTTGACTCAAACAATCAAAAGGCAAATGGACATAACCATTTTCAAAAACTGGGAGGGAGGTTAAGAGCTGGCCAACAAGTCAAGCATATCAAGATGTCAGATTAGTAGCACATTTCTTTGTGACTGCATGTCTCACACATTACTGTGTATCCCAGTGTGTGTCAAGCATTCTGTACAGGGAGCATGAAAGCTCTAAGAAAACAAGGGGGACAGCCAGTCCCCCATGATGATCTGGTGGTTTTCTTTAGTATCGAGTTGCCTAGACTGAGGGAATGCATCAGGTCTAAAAGTCTAGATCAGCCAGTAACACCAACTTGGCCCTTTAGTATCCCCTGATTTCTCATGCCATGATGATTGTGGGGTGTCGTCTGAATGTTTCAGGTGGAATTGCAGTACCCACCTCTGACGAACAGTCTCAGGGACAAACTACATGAGATGTTTTTAGTGAGTTTTAATGGGTTCCACAGACCTAATTCACTTTCCCATCAGCCACGCAGCAGCTGTGGGGGAATGTTAAGAGTCTGTAGTGGCCTGATTTGGCTTTTCCCTCTTAGATTTCCTGAGCTGAAATGGCCCAAGATGGTTATTTGTCCTGTTTTGGAGCAGCACATGCATGGAATACTGCATTTGTAGCTCCAAAGTGAGGGAAATAATTTCCCCCTTGGGCAGTTTCAGCTCAGGAAAAGAGTGCAGGAAGGAAGGTAAGAACCCTTCCCCCTGCCACAGTCCTGAGCTGAATCAGTCCCCTGTTAAGACTCTTAAAACAATATTCCTCGCAGCTGCAGCGTGGCTGTAGGAAAGCGAGTCAGGTCTGGGTTCTGTCTTGTGTAGTTTGGCCCTCAGTGACTCACAGAGCAGACAGCCACTATGATCCATAAAGCTCCCAGTTAGACCCCCACAACCCTGACAAAGTGCACCCATATGCACCCACAGGCAGCAGATCACAAATATGACCTCGGTTGCTCATCCCCCATGTTTGTATTTGCATAACATATGATTTCCAATAGAGCTGATAAATGATGACTAGAAGTACTAGGCAGAGTTTGTCTCAGGAACTGAATGGATCTCATTTCCAGCTAATTATTCATTGCTCCAGTGCTGGAAGCCATTTGCTGTGCTGTACCTCGTAGCAGGAAGTAGCGTTCTCGTCAGCCACTAAGCACTAATTGTCACCTTTCAATGACATGATGCATGGACTTCCCCTCCACTCCAGGCAGGTGTAGACAAAACGAGCTAGACACTTTTATGAAATATTACGTCTTTGGGATATTAAGAAAAAGAAAAAGAGAAGTGAATAGGAGCCGTACACTAATTTATCTAAGGGAAAGCTCTGTGTCCATCAGGGTGGGGCAAGGGAAATAGGCAAGGGAAATGGATACTAATCAGATAAATCAATCATTAAAAGGCCAGCCAAGAATTAAGCACTGACAAATGGTGCTACTCATACGGAAATATATTTCATTGACAGAAACCTCCAGCTCAGTACGTCACAGTTATTAATAAGAAGGCAATGTGACAGAGATGGACAAAAACAGCAGCCGTTTACTCACTCATCTCAGTCCTGCTCTGATCAATAACAATTTAAATTTCTCAGCAAACTCACATCATCCCACCACCCAGGGGTCCTTGTATTTTCTGATAGTTTGGCCTGTACTCAACCAGGAGTTTTGCAGAAGTTTTACACTTCAAGAAGCAGCAGCATTCTCTTTTCACACACAACTCTATATAAAGGGATCTTGCTGAGCTGAAATCTGTTTGCACCTTAATTTATTGTGCCTTTCTAGACACCTGTGAATGGTTCACACCAACAAACTGTGTTCCTACAATATGTACATTTATGCAGTAGAGATAGGTTATGCGTTGAGTAAGGCTTTTGAGAGAGTGTTAGAATTGATCCTTTGAACCAATGTGGCAGGGGGTAGGATTGTGAGGTAATTGGAGCAGTGGTAGAATTCTACCAAGTGGTGTATTACAATTGAAACTAGAACTGATCCCTTATATTGCAAGGTTACTTTGCCAGCAGGAGTATGGAACTGTTATTTCACATTTGGAGTTGAAGTATGTTTGGTAAACAAAAAACTGCTATGGAATCACAAGTTCCAGTGGCTTGATATCACAGAACTTGTATCCTTTGGTTCTGCATAATGGGGCTAGAAATTAGCTGCATTGCTGGGTATTAGTTTTGGTCCTGCTAAATTATTTGAGCCAGCAAAGGCTACATCAGATATTATGAGTAAGACAGCAAACTGTGGGACAGAAAGAAAACTCCCAGGCCAATAATGTATGGAAAGTCCTTGAGGTATATGTGAAGTGTGTTAACCATACTTTAATCATACCTTAAATGAATATGTGTCAACTTCGGTGTTAAACATTTATCAAGTGTACCCAAGCTGTAAAACCAAGATGTGCCTCTCATATGATTGTGAGATGTTTTTGTGTACATATTGGTTTGAAGAGTTACATGGCACATTCTGGTTTTATGAAATCTGCCAAAAAACATTCTTGTTCAGCAAGGTCCTCAGTATTCTGCTGTAATGTTGGAGGTAGTTGTTTTTATTGCTGCTGCTCTGGTTAGCTATTACTAAACTGTTCAGATTTTTGTGTTTCAACCTTTTATTAGTGTATAGTATTTTATTACTTGTATTGTACTGTAGCCTGCTTTGAGAATGTACAGTTAGGCTAGTCAATTGGGATATAAATGCTAGCTCTGCTAATGAAGTAATGTTCATTTCTCATTGTTTCACATTTGCAGTGTTTTGGGGTCAGTGATTTCCTTTCCCAGTCATGTTTATGTTGCACTTTGTTATGCCATAAATGCCGAGACCTCGCATTGCTGTTGCCTTTAGAAAGCCTTGAACTGGCAGAAACTGCTTACGGATGCACTGAACAATGGTTGATAATTCTCACCTAACTTGCCATTGCTTTTTTCTTTTAGATCATCAATTTCCAGGAACCTGTGACCTTGGACTTCCTTGATGCTGAACTAGAAGATGAGAACAAAGAAGAGGTAGGTGGTATAATGGAGATGCAGTCTCTTCTATTTTAGGCAAATCAATTCACTTAACTTACAGCATATGGGCAACAGCAAAGCAGTGTAAAGATGTCAACAACATTGCATTTTGCTTACATCTGCAGTGTAAGATTCCACCACGGTTTCATCCATGTCCCAGCCCTTTAACAGTAGTTTGGTAGACTGGCTACTTAGTTCCTATACTGCCATGACAACATTTTACAGTAATGTGGCAGATGCACATACATATATAATGAATTTCTACATTTCTAGGTAGAAAATTGCATAGTGCCTTTGTATTTGTGTAGCAGTCACATGCATGCCTATTTTGTATGTTCATGATATGACAAACCACTATCAAACAGGCTTCCTGTCCCGTGTGCATACAGAGCACACATGTAGTCATTACACATGCTAGTATACATCGTAGAAGCCACATTAAATTAATATCTATGTAGGAAATTTATCATGTGTAACGCAGCTCTTAGATGTAATTCCTTTGTCTCAGGGCTGCAGTCCTGATTAATTTTCCATAGAGTGTGTGCAGTAGGGATTCCTTCCTTTCTCTATAACATATGGGTCGTTTGTACTTACGATGGAATTCATAGAAGCAGCACAGGGAAGGAGGGAGGTGATTGGGTAAGGAACATCAGAGGGTATAAATTCTGGTTTAATCTATGAAGACAGGAGTATTGAATTCTGTAGCATCCACTGAGAGAAGATGGCCATGTGACAGCAATGCTGATTCTGTGAATGCAGATCATGAGAGGGAGGGCAGGAAGGGTTGCATTGGTGCTTAGTTCTTGTGGCCATTTCTTACGTGCCCAGGGAAATGCTGATCACCATTTTGGGGTCAGGAAGCAATTTTTCTCCAGGCCAGTT